CGGATATTGCAAAATCTCCATTCCCACCCCACTCTGGGGCCAGCCAGAGGTATTTGCCGGTTCTCCGAACTACTCAAAATTTTCAGTGCCGGTTCTCCGAACTGCTCAAACTTACCTCTACCGGTTCTCCAGAACCTGCTGGATTTCACCCCTGGATGGAGCGTATATTGAAAAACATTGTTTCCTAGCCCTCTTTCCCCAAATTTATAAGAAAGGCGATATTCAATAATCCTAGATAGGACACATACATTGAACAGGTAGATAGTTCTGGAAATATGTAGATGCAGAGCTTGATAGGTAATGACCAGCACTTTGAACCATACTGAGAAGCCTACAGATAACCAATGCACCAGTAGTATGTGGTTCTAGCTGTAGTCATCCACTGGCAGAAAACTGATGCCTTTTATACAAACTGCAGTTTCCAGGTAGTCTTCAAAGTTGGGTGCATTGTGGTAGCCCATCTCAGAGGGGAGAGAATGAGTCACAGTCACCCAATATAAATCTAACAAATAAATAAAAATTACGGTGGGTGGGACAGGACAGAAACATTTCCATTAGATTCTACTTTTTAGAGGTGTTTCCAAAAGCTTCCTTTGTATAGACCTGGGGTCCTCTGGTCATGAAGTTCTGCTCCTAAGGAAAGAGAATGTACATGAGCCACAATCACTATGGAACCCCAAGCTGAAGCCAACACCTGGTTACTGTTTGCAACGACATGCTTTTGTACACATGTCAGGTTTGCATAAAACCACAGGCAAGGTGCAGCAACTACTGCGAGTGAATGGCTCTGCTGCTAGTTTTCTAACAGCCATGTTCCGGAGCCATCACTCCTCCCTAACCTCTCCTTTCCTCCACTTCCCTCATAATGGTCTTAGCTTTCGGATGCTGCTCTCTTGAAGCCAGAAAGTTCAAAACAGCTCTGACTCATCATGCATTATGAATCAGCAGTTTGAAGGCTTGCTTTGACTTTAAACATGGGGCGCTAGGAAATGCAGTACATAGCTGTGGGTGTGAAACTATTCCCTCCCTTTGAGGAATTTAACCAAATATCTCCGTTTTAGTCTTCACAGGCACATTCTTTTAGCAACTCCTAGAAACGTCTTCTCCAAATTCGGGGGTGGGGGATGTGAAGGGGGGAGGGGGTAAAATGCAGAAATGAATTACATTCCCCCACATTTCTCAAGAACCTGGAATATGGGAAGTTTCAAGGGAAAAGCTGTCTTGAGTCTCTTCAGAAGTTCAAGGAGGGCATTTTACAAGCAAAGGAGGAAATTGTGGCAAGAATCCAATTCTTGAAGTAATTTCCTCATGAATTATTCAACCTGGCTTGTAAAAATTTGAAGGAATCTAGTAGCACCTCTTCAAACTAGCCAATTTTATTAAAAGGCAGAAGCTTTTATGAGACAACAGCTCACTTCATCAGATGCATGAAGACCTTCAGTAGAACATCTCTATTACAGTCAGGCCCGTATACCGTTTTATAATATGTTTTACAGAACTCAAATGAATATGCATAAAAAACTAATTAGGAAAAAAAATTGTAGCAAATTTTAGCAAAAGACCCTGCAAATACCCAGAGAGCTAAAAAGTTAAATATGTAAGATGAAATGATTAAGAATAGAAGTACTTTGCAAAAAATATAAGTAAACATACATATATCTTTTTAGTTACCAAACAGAGCAATATAAAATAACCCTACAAAACAGCACTAAAAGGTAAATAACATTTGTTCCTAGTCAAATTGAATAATTGTCATGTTTCACTATCAGTTTCTAAATAATATATGTTCTGAAAGAAAACTGAACAACTTTGAAGGTGGCATTGTGTAAAAGCGTAGAGTTTATCTGGTTTATCTTCCTGGAAAAAAATGTGGTTGCTAGGAGCCAACACTGATTTGATGACACATAATCAGTATATCAAGAACTGACTTAGAAATGGAGTTAAATACAAGAGACAAATGAATTCCATCATAAAATTGGCAGTACAGTAGCACTCGGTCCACAGTTTCAATTGCTTTTAAATGGCAGAAGAATAACAACAGCAATAAGAAATCTCTCGTGGACAGAATATGTTGCTATCCTCCTTCGAGTAGGGATATATTTGGTGTGTTAAAAGGTATTAAGCTACAGTTCCTTACAATATTTTATAATTGCAAGATATTAGCTAGGAGATAATCCAGGGGTGAAATGCTCCCTGATCGGAACAGAATCGTCTGATCCGGTAGCGATTTTTCCCTGTGGTTCAGCAATCCAGTAGCGATTGCTGCCTGGGTATCATTACTTCCTGGTTTTAACTGGATGCGCAGAAGGTGTGCGCATGTGTCACACGTGCGCTTCCAAACCGGTAAGGAAGGTAAGTAGATTTCACCCCCGAGATAATCCCGTTGTTTTATATATTTTTATATTATTTTGTGGACTTTTAATGCCCCAAATGGACACATCTGTTTATTATATTGTCAGACATCTTACAGTATACTTTAAAATTGGCTTTGAAGTTGATGAAACAAAGTTAAACTGCAACAAAACACAATTGACTCTCAATTGTTTTTAAATTAACAGCAAAACCGCACCGTTTATTATTTAACTTGCATGAACAAATGCACTTGCCAGTCTTCTAAAAGTTATTGAGACAGATGCCCTCAAATTTCTGTAATTTATTTATTTGTAGGATTTGTAGCTCTGCCAAGAAAAACCACACAATTCACACCATAACTAAAATACATATATGGTGACATTACCAGGAAAGCCCTAGCACTCAAAACAGGTGAAATTCCCCTTCATTGACTTTCCAAGGAAGATAAGAACTGGTGGATCTATCCAAGTTCTTTGTATTAATATCCATTGTCAGCTCACTCCAGGCTTATGAAGACATGCATCTGCTGAGCTGTGGTGGCGCAATGGTTAGAATGAAGTATTGCAGGCTAACTCTGCCCACAGCTAGGAGTTCAATCCTGACTGGTTCAAGGTTGACTCAGCTTTCCATCCTTCCAAGGTTGGTAAATAGAAGACCCAGATTGTTAGGGGCAATGTGCTGACTCTGTAAACTGCTTAGAGAGGGTCGTAAAACACTATGAAGCGATATATAAGTCTAAGTGCTATTGCTGTTGCTGTTACTGTTTACTGATAGCTCCTCTCTAGAAGAATGCAGTAGAGTTGATAGGATTGTGTCAATGAATTAGAAATGATTGCTGGTGCATGAGATTTTGGACATCTGTGGAATTTGTCTCTCATCCTTTATTTATCTCCTTCTGATTTAAGTGCTAAATATTGTACCTAATGAGGAACTTAAATAAATAAGTTGTTATTATTCAGAAGGAGGTCACAATCAAGTAATCAACAATGGCTCCTCCAGACCATTGGAGTTTTGCAAAGAACAAGTGGACAAAGGCTAAGTACCATATTTGTATATTTTGTAAAAGATTGTTCTGTGAGGTCATACAATTAGCAGCAATGTAGCTGAGATCAGATCATTTCCTGTGTGTTCTGTAGGTATATCGGACTTCTGCTAACATGCTCAGAAACAGGATGAGTGTTGGCTGCAGGCTTCTGGAATTGATGAGTATCACAGCTGGAGGGCAGCTGGATAGGGAAGATTATCTTAGATTACCAGCTGCAATCGTACTATTGATATTGGATTTGGACCCAGTATTAGAAGTTAAGTGCTTTTCATTTTCTTTCTGAATGATACTTGAAGATAATGAAGTTTCCTTTAGACAAAAATAAGGTATTTTATAAGGCTAAATAGCCAGGAAAAAATGGATCATCAAATAAATCAAGCCAGAGTTCTTACTTGAAGTACAAATGACCCAGCTCTAATTATCATACTTTGGACACATAATACAAAGATTGTGCTGTCCAGAGAAATCTATAATTTTGAGAAAGATTAAAGGAAAGAGAAGAAGAGAACAACCAGCAACAAGGTGGATGGATTCCATTATAACAGTGATGGGTTGCTTCAGTGGAAGAACTGAAGCAACAGGTTATCCTTGAGAAAATCTATCTGTATGGGTCACTAGGATATTGACTTGATGGCAGATAATCAACAAGACAATCATGCTGAATAGGTTGGTCTAGTTCTAGGGAGATCCAAGTTTCAGTCCATTAATGGAAACTCATTTGAGGACTTTGGGCCTATCACTCTCAGCCCAGCCTGTTTCTCAAGATAGCTAGTGTGAAAATGAAGGGAGATTCCAACCTAAATGGTTCAGAGTCTCTGAAGCAAAGGCAGAATAATAAATAATATAACAAAAATAACAGCAGATTTTCCTCTTAGAGCAAATTTCTTAAACTTCATTGTAAAACTACTCCCAGCTCTGTCAAAGATAACTAAAAACTAAACAGCAGCTGTTTAATCTATGGTTTTAAGGCCGTGCTTTAATATTTTGCACATAGCCTGAAAGGAAGGACCACTTAATTCAACATGTCTTGCACTAATTCTTTGCACTAATGCAGTTTTAAAATCCATTTAATAATGGTACAATATACAGCTCCTCCTTTCTGACTTGGCCAAAGCATGATTTGGAAAATATTGCTTGGAAACTTAATGAAATACTTTTGTATGGTCTTTTTGAAGCCGTTAAAAGTATAAAGGTGTTCCTTCCCGTTTCTGTCAGGGCTGCACTGACAGAAAGATTAGGCTTCCCCTTAATTCTGTTCCTAATGAGCTGAAGGAAGACTTTTCAATCTCTTTCAGTGTAGAAGGGTGTGTTAGATCAGGGGTCTCCAACCTTGGCAACTTTGGTGCCAATTCCTCAGTCAGCCAGCTTTGCTGGTTGAGGAATTCTGGGAGTTGAAGTCCACAAGTCTTAAAGTTGCCAAGGTTGGAGACCCCTGTGTTAGATGGATTATGTCAAGAAGTGGCAAACTCTTGGTAGATGGGCACACAGCACATTTTGTGAGTGTGTGGGTAGGGGGGTGGGGAAGTGTGACAGCCACGGTGGAGAAGGTGCAGAGTGTGAAGGTCTCTGAGATATACAGTATTTTGATAATGTGGGGGTGGGGGTGGTGATGAATTGTGAATGTTGCCTTTTTTTCTTCTTCTTCTTCAGAACTTTAGAACTTATTTTACATGTGTCATGCATTTCCTGTGTCAAATCGCAGGGCAAGCGGAAGGTCAGAAAAGAGCATTTCACTTTCTCCAGCTCATGCAGTGACAGATGTGCACAAGTGAAGGAAGGAACATGTGAACCTGCTTTAAAATGGCCTTATACCAGTGGTGGGTTTCAAATTTTTTTACTACCGGTTCTGTGGGTGTGGCTTGGTGGGCGTGACTTGGTGGGCATGGCAGGGGAAGGATACTGTAAAATCTCCATTCCCACCCCATTCCAGGGGAAGGTTATTGCAAAATCCCCATTTCCTCCTGATCAGCTGGGACTCAGGAGGCAGAGAATAGATGTGGGCGGGGCCAGTCAGAGGTGATATTTACCGGTTCTCTGAACTACTCAAAATTTCCACTACCGGTTCTCCAGAACTGGTCAGAACCTGCTAAAACCCACCTCTGCCTTATACACATAATGAGCAAGAAATCTGAAACCATTGGATTTAAACTCACTCACTTAGCTAAAGGTTTTTAGGCCACCATTCCCAGGGCACTTTATGTAATTAAACAGTATAAACAATATACAAGCAAACCTTTTTTTAAAAAAAGGTAAAAAGCAAACAGTCACCCGCTATACCAAAGCGTCTCATCCTTATTTCAGCAGCCTTAAATGAATTTAAGATAGTTTGGTGGCTTCTACCAAAGAACCAAGAAAGTACACAAGCATTGCCCAGTGGGTATGTGTGCACACAGTCTCAGCTCCATGAGGTAAAATCAGATCCAAAAATCAGCCCCCTCAGGAAGACTAGAATTATACCTTATGCTTTAATTTAAAGATTCTTTAATCACAGAATTGTGCATGTCTGATGGTGCATTTCCTCTCCTCCCTCTTATACCCCAGTGAGTCAGGGAGGGAACAACCCGAGCCTCTTCCTAACACAATCTCCATTCCAAGGACTTAAGGAATGTTTCTGTTCTTTTTGCTTACATATCGGTTTCTGAATATTTGCCTCAAGACCACTTCTCTGGCTTTCTCCGCATGGTTGAGGAAGCATTAACAATGGGGAAATGTCGCACCATCTCTGTGCGCAGTAGTAGCCATTGTGTAGAAAGAACAAGGGCTTGCATGCCTCCAAATTGTGATGCACAGCTTTTGATCGGCCAAGAGACACCCAACCTTTGAAAGGTATGCCAGGAGCCACAGTCAGAAGGGGACGGACCACATTTGAAATTATTAAAAAAGTAAGGCCCAGGCAAACATGACATTGAATTAATTAAACATAGGTAGTCCTCAACTTACAACAGTGCATTTAGTGACTGTTCGATGTTACAACGGCACTGAAAAAAGTGACATGTCCATTTTTCACACTTGTGACCATTACCTCATCCCCATGGTCATTGATTTACATTCAGATGCTTGACAACTGATTCATATTTATGACGGTTGCAGTGTCCCATGTCACATGATCCTCTTTGGTGAACTTCTGACAAGCAAAGTCAATGGGGAAGCCAGGTTTGCTTAACAACCGTGTGACTAATTTAACAACTTCAGTGACTGACTTAACAACTGTGGCAAGAACGGTTGTAAAATGGGGCTGAGCCCACTTAACAAATTTTTCACTTAGCAACATAATTTCTGGGCTCAATTGTGGTCATAAGTCAAGGACTACCTGTATTAATGTTACGATGCCACTTGAGATGGAATGAGAACATGGCAGGATGATGGGGAGAGACAATGGTGGCTTATGGAGGGAAAAGGATGAGAGCCTGGGAGGAAGGGGTGCAATGGGAGAGATGAGCCAAAGACATGGTGGGTGGCAGGAGGGAAGCACAGAGAATCATGGAGAATGAGAGGCTCTGTGTGGGCCAAGAATTGGATGCTGCTGGAACTAGGAGAACGTAGCTGTGCATGTTAAGAGCAGCATCTGAATTCCAACAAGTCATACATGACTCATAGGCTGCCCTTTGTATATCTAGGCCTTAGGCAAATATTACAAAACTATCTCAGCAAAACCCATGAGGTTTTTTTTAGCACGTCCCTTGAACAAAGAGCAAATGCTGAAGTCAGTTACTATGATTGTATTCCTGTTCCCAATAAATCCATTTTCTTTAGAAGACCATGCATAGCAATTACCCAGAACAGAGGAAGACTGATTTAGCCATATGTTCTATTTTAAACAAAACAAACCCTACAATTCTCATGCTCCACAAACTAATTCTAAATTTACCAAACAAGAATGCACGCTTGACATTTCTCAGGCTGAAAAGCTTTACCCACTCATTTCAGAACAAGTCTCACTTGCATTCAGTAGAGTATATTTCTAAGTAGAATGGGGAAGAGAGAGAGAGAGAGAGAGAGAGAGAGAGAGAGAGAGAGAGGCTCCCTAATCTTTTAGAGTAGCACTTGGTGTTACAAGCAATTATTGCAATAAATTTTCTATATAATAAATACTGCATGTTTCCTCCCAAGCACAACTTTTATCTGGTTTAAGACCATACTTTCAGTATCTACAACCAGATTAAGAAGTAGTGGGTGAGCCAGGACTTTTCATTTGTACTCGATTACAATTATTACCCCAGTGCCATTCACCCATTGGGTCACACCAAGACCTCAAATTGTCCATCACTTCTCTGTGCTTCCCATTTGGCATCACCACTTCTTTGGAACATAAGAATTACTTTCGTCAATAATAAAATTACTAAGTGCATAATTGGAGAATTATTCACTTAATAATTTCCCCCTTCTGACACATTATAAATTACAGATTCAGATGGAAAAGTCTATTCCTAAATTGAAATAAAGGCAAAGAAATGGCCTTTTAGCTTAGTACAACCTGAGAACTCATCTAATCTTGGTAGGGTTGGTTTAGTCTGAAGAATTGTAAGTAGGATGGGCTTCCTTTGGATGTACATTTTACTGTAAATTATATGTCACAAAGTCAGGTTGTGCCTAGCCACAACTCACCTTTTGCTAGATCCCAGTAGCAATGGGATTATCAGCAAGGACGAAACTAAATTATGTATTGAAATCCGCAATGCAAAGCAAATCCAAGGGCTTCATACTTCAATAAACAATCATGTAAACACTCCCAAAAGCAGTTCAGTGGGTAAATGATTGATTTTTTAAAAATGGCCCTCCAGAATGATGGCAGTGGGAAGAAACCATGTTCTACGCATAGGAGACCTAGGTTTGGCCCGCCACAGGGCTGGAGAGAGTTGAACACTCACACTCCGATTAACCAGTGGAACAGCTTGCCTTCAGAAGTTGTGGGTGCTCCATCATCGGAAGCTTTCAAAAAGAGACTGATCAGCCACTTGTCTGGAATGGTATATTGTCTCCTGCTTCTGCAGTGAGTTGGACTAGAAGACCTCCAAGGTCCCTTCCCATTCTGTCATTCTGTTATAGCCCAAGACCACAATGTGACTGAACTCACCAGAGAACCAATCTGCTACAGCTGGTTATTGCCTATAACCCCTTCGTGGCATAAGGCTAGCTTTGAGGGTTATTGCCTCTCACCCATCAGTTCTGCTCACCCATTGCAATTTGACAGAGTTGCTGCACTTCATGCCCCACCCTTTAAGCAACGTCATCTGACAGGATACAGGAAGTAGCCCTTCTCCATTGCAGTGCCTGCTCTTTGGATGAATATCTCCTTAGAGGTTCAGGCTGCATCATCCCCACAATCTCTGAAAACATGCTGGTTTCCCAAATTCTGTGGTAGGTTGGCGTATATTCACTTGGCGTGCAGTATCTGCTTTCATTACTATGTCTTTGCTCCCCCATTGTATTTACTGCTATGGTTGTTATTTGTTCAATTTAGGAACTTTTTATGAGAAAGAATATGAGAAAGAAGGCGGGAAAGGCAGGCAGGCAGGCAGGCAGGAGGGAGGGATCCATCAGTACTCTAAGGGGAAGCTACTTAGATGGAACACCCTCATGTATTCAGGCAGTATTTCACAAGAATAGATATGAGTGCATAAAAGCTTTTTGTTGTCATTAGAGATGGAAGAGAAAAAGCCCAATGTTTCAGGCTAAGCTTTTCCCCTCCTAAATGGGGAACATATACAATATAGCCCTGTAATGCTGAATAAACACAATGCAGCTACTAGAAGATAGATCAGGGATAGATCAGGTTCTACTTACCTTTACTACCAGTTCTCAACGGGAGCGTGCACGCTTCTGCACATGCACAGATCGCCAAATATGACCTCAGGGTGGGTGGGCGGAGCCTGCCGCTGCTTTTATACCAGTTCTCAAGAACTGGACAGAACCGGGAGCAACCCACCACTAGGACAGATATAAACAAACCTGCTTTAAGCTCAAATAAAGATTAACTTCTCATTATTTCCAGCCTAACATCCCACCCCCCATCTTGATTCATCTCCCTTGTTTACCCCAATCCTTCCATTAGGCCAAATTATCATATCTTAACCCTTGATAGTCGTAAGTGCTGGTGTGCAATACAACAGCCACACGATGCTCCTTCACTGATTTCATCAAAGTCCATGTTTCTGCAAAACCAGTATTTTTTCTCCAGAAGAAGATGATAACAAGGACAGGTGAAGTGTTTGTGTCAAGAGCAAGACTGGAACCCATCTTCTATTTATCCTCCAGGCAGAAATGATTCTGCTGGTTACAGCATCTATCTCTAAAAGTCATCTTTTAAAGAGTGACTAATGCTAAAACATCTCAATGCAATAGCCTGTAATGGTTTCAAATGCCACATTCAAGGGCAGACATTCCAGTGTAAAGGTTTCCCTTAAGGAATAGGACTTAAGCCCTATTGCATGCTTTTCTCTAAGGAAGATTAAGGTGCACTTTCACCATCTGTGGGAAACCCCTATTTCCTTGGCCCGTGTTTACACAAAGGAATAATAGAACTAACATCCTTGTCCAATGTTTTTGATCTTTCAGTCCCTAGAAATATGTTCCTGGTTATTAAAAGGAAGTATTTCAAACCACTATACAGCATAATTATGAAACTGAATCTGCAGCTGAGAGGTAGTGCAATCCTCTAGTGACCTAGTACCAAAAAAGGGGGCACTGTGATATAATTAAAGGGAGTCAGAACTTTAGTAGGTAGCAGCATCTGGCCAACTGTGGCTGACTTTGGAAGCTAAGCAGGATCAGCCCTGGTTAGAACTTGGATGGGAGAATTGCCTCAGATTCCAGAGCTGTAACCTAGATTGGGAAGTGGGGAAATAAATACCAGAAGGCAGCAATGGTCCGCCACTTCTATAAATTATGCCAAGAAAACTGCATGACATGGTGCTCATGTAAAGAAGCCTTCAAGTCCAGTATGATTTCTGGTGATGGATACTATGGTGCAGTAGTGGGTTTCAAAATATTTTACTACCGGTTCTGTGGGTGTGGCTTGGTGTGTGTGGCATGTCTTGGTGGGTGTGGCATGGTGGGCATGGCAGGGGAAGGATACTGTAAAATCTCCATTCCCAACCCACTCCAGGAGAAGGATACTGTAAAATCTCCATTCCGTCCCCAATCCAGGGAAAGGTTACTGCAAAATCCCCATTTCCTCCTGATCAGCTGGGACTTGGGAGACAGAGAATAGATGGGGGCGGGGCCAGTCAGAATTTTTACTACCAGTTCTCCGAACTACTCAAAATTTCCGCTACCGGTTCTCCAGAACTGTCAGAACCTGCAAAAACCCACCTCTGATACGGTGGCTGCATTACAAAGGCACATATATTTCTATTCATCTACCAATGATTTCAGATTGAAAGCTTTTATCTCTACCTTAATAGCAAAAGGAAATAAGAATGATGTCAGCTTTGGAAGCTATATTAACACAGGAAGCTTCCACACTGCCACCTTCTTGCTCTTGGGACAGTAGGAGGGGGTTGTAGTTAGACATAATGGCATTCTTCTTTTCGGTCAAGGTCATGGTGTTCCTGCATCTGGAGGAGGAGTGGTTGAAGTGATGGCTCAAGTTGGGGCGGATGGTGATTGGGCCATGTGATGGACTGAGAGGTGCAGGGGCTGGATTTGGGATTTTGATTTTCTGAGGGAAAACCAGGAACTCTCGGATTTGGGTTTTCCCAGGTGTGCCAGTATACCTACTCTAAAAAATGGGAACTTTGAGAAGATGCCTGTCGGAGTTTTTAATTGGAGTTGGGGTTTTCTAGAACGCCAACAAAAGGCATGCAAATCAAAATTCATTTTCATGAAAGAATGAGAGGTGTTCCGTAGAAGCAATAGTCTCCTATGTTCCTTCCTGTAATGATGCAAATGCTCTTTAATCATTAACCCATTGGAATTGATGCAGTAGCTGAGAATCAGCAGAGTGGGGAAAACGTTCCATGATGTCTTTCCCTGGTCATGGCTTATAGCCTTTTAAGAAAAGAATTGCTAAATCTGAATTGATGTTGAGAGGCCTCAGTTTTCTCCCCTGGAGCTGCAAAAATGCATCAGCTACACGCAAAGCTGTTCCAAAGCAGGTCTAAGCATCTTGTAAAGTTCGCAAGAGAAAACCTCCTGCAACCACTCTAAGCAAAGGACAGCAGGACCTGTCCTGCCAACATTCAAGCAGCGAGGATTGGATGAAAAAGAAACAGCACTGCCAATGCAATTGGGGCCGTTATATGCGAAATATTCAAGTATTTGCAGTCTTCAGCTAAGCTTAAACTGGTGGCCACTCAGTTTTCTGAAACTTTCTTAGCCTGAGCTAAGCCCACGCATCATTCTAAGCCACAATTGTGCTGCAATTTGCTTCCTTTTGGTGCAGCATGTCATGTAAACCCTAACTCTGGCTTGGTCACCTGCCATGACAGGGGTTGTACACCATGATTCCTGGATAATTTTTAGGTTAGACTTCTCCAAGCCATCTTTTATTCAGTGCACCACAATGAAATCATGGTTTAGCAGAATGTGAGCTCTCGGCTGTAATCATCAGCCAAGCAAAACGGGCTAAATCAGGATTGCTAGATAGGACTGTATATTATCTCAGCTATGAAGGGCACAGTGGATGCAAATCAGGGGTGAAATCCAGCAGGTTCTGACAGGTTCTGGAGAACCGGTAGCGGAAATTTTGAGTAGTTCGGAGAACCGGTAGCGGAAATTTTGAGTACTTCGGAGAACCAGTAGCGGAAATTTTGAGTAGTTCGGAGAACTGGCAAATGCCACCTCTGGCTGGCCCCAGAGTGGGATGGGAATGGAGTTTTTGCAATATCCTTCTCCCAGGAGTGCAGAGGGAATGGGGATTTTGCAGAATCCTTCCCCTGCCACGCCCACCAAGCCACGCCCACAGAACCAGTAGTAAAAAAATTAGATTTTCACCACCGATGCAAATGAACACAATTATGTTGTAGGGGGAAAATAACATAGAGAGAAATAAATAACATGAATGTTGGAAACCATGGACACAGAGAAAATGGAGAAGTTCAATTATACCAACGGAGCAGAGGCTGAAATGATCAGGATCAGCCACATTGTACCTTATGTTGGTCCAGGTACCTTTAGAATAGAATAACAGAGTTGGAAGGGACCTTGGAGGTCTTCTAGTCCAACCCCCTGCTTAGGCAGGAAATCCTACACCACTTCAGACAAATGGTTGTCCAGTCTCTTCTTAAAAACTTCCAGTGTTGGAGCATTCACAACTTCTGGAGGCAAGTTGTACCACTGATTAATTGTTCCAACTGTCAAGAAATTTATCCTTAGTTCTAGGTTGCTTCTCTCTTTGTCATTATTTACAGGTGTCCAGTCATTTGGCAGAGCCTCTGGGTTGTGGAAATCTATCCTTTGGGCCTGAGAGTGAACCTTAGTTGCACTGTCAAAGCTGCACAGTACAACATGATTATAGCATACAGTGCCAGGGAGGTCATTATTACCAGAAACTTTGTGTTGACCCCTCAGGGCAAAAGCAGAGTTGGGAAGAGTTCAATCCTGGAAAGGCTTAGCACTCCCTACAATGTCCTTGTGGCTCTCTAATCTCTTACACAATAGGGATTGTGGTGGGCAGAATGCGATGTATTCCCTTGATAACGACTAGGGAATTATTACTCTGTTGTTTTTTGACAGATTGCAAAAGGCACAAAGCCTCAGGATTTGCCTTTCAGCACCTGCCCTGGATACGGAAATGTTTTTTCATCCCTTTCTTGCTCCATTCTTTGCAAAGATTGACAAACTCTGAAGGTATATTTTCTGAAAGCTTCTTCCCCCTCAGGCGTCTTTGTGGCTCTTTCTTTTAAGCCACAATGCAGTTGAATGATCGATGGAAAGTCGGAAAGCATCTGGGTGTCTTCCCACAATACAAGAGCCCTGGCAGTTGAGCATCATGCAAATTGTGATACTACTTATGTGACAGACATCAGGTTTAGACAGAGGTAGCTTCTAATGATCTTAAGCTGCAGGAAGGGAAGAGGATTACATTTCTCCTTATATCAACTGTGAATGTTGCAAACTACTTAGAGAATAAGCACCATCTTGTTCTAGGAAAGGAATGTTTGTGTGTGTTTGTGTGCGTATGTGTGTATTTTAAAGCAGGGGTTTCAAACTTGATTTCATTGAGGGCCGCATCAGTGTTGTGTTTGACTTCAGGGGGCAGGGGTGGCCAGGGTGAGCATGGCCAGCTCGATGTCACTCGTGTTGGGAGCACCTGTGTTGGCCTGAGCGCTCTCCATTTTCGGCCATAAGTCCCTCGCAAGCTCCATTTTTGGCTGTGACAGCCCCCTGCAACCCTCTGCCAGCCAAAACGGAGCCCTCCTGAGCTCCATTTTTGCTGGCAGATGCACCACAGGCCAGTCCTTCCCTGTTTCTAGGGCGGCCCCCCAGGCCAGATCTAAGCACCTCGCTTGCGGGATACAGCCTGTGGGCCTTGAGTTTGACACACCTGCTTTGAAGTCTTTGTCAGAAATCTGTTTCCCAGTTGTTTCCCAGTTCAGAAGCTTGCATATATCTGGGTGTGAATGTTCATAGAATATTTTTTTAAGACTCACTTATTTTTCAATTTTGCTAACCTGAGTTACAAATCTAAATGAGGAAGATGAGGTGACGAGTTTACTTACCTAAAGACAAATGTCAGGTGGAAAACTTTGGATTTTGTCAGTTTTACATGCCGATGACTTCTGTCTTATCAGTTACACTGGTGCTAACACTAGACTAGTGCTACAAAGTGCTATATGCAGTTCAGATATTTTAATGGCTTGAAAAACTTCCTTTTCCTGTCTCCCCTTTCTCCTGAGCAAGGCTGTGTTTATTACACAACTATCAGTTTGATGAATTTGAAATCCATTAATGACAAACGAGACTATTAAAGGAATGAAGCGCTGAAATGAGCAGGATTTTTAGAAATAGTGTTTGTTTAAAAGCTTGCCAAATCATGGAAATTATGATAGTGGATATTAAGAAAATGCTGTAACCTAAACAGAAAAGACTCTGGTTAGTGTAACTGGGAGGTGTAGCTTGCATGATACAGCAGTAATGAGAAGACAAATTCCAATTTGCTATTTAAAAATGTCAGCTTTTTCATTTTTAAAAAAATGTTCTCATCAGAATGAAGGAAGGAAGGAGGGAAACTGAAGTGCATATTTTCCATATTTCCCTATGAAGAACATTACTTCCACCAGAGGTGAATGCCAAATAGTTAATTTATTTTTAAACAAAGACATTACTGCAATATAAAATGTTTATAAATCATGTCAGATTCTTATTCCACAAGATTTTGGAAGGTTCTTGAGCTTATATGTAAAACATATTGTATTTCCCTAATTAACTCAAGACTCCTGAATGCATATCTATTATATGCAATTTTTTTTTTAAAAAAAGGAACATGATGGTGAGAATCAGATTATGAGTGATGGAAAGATGGGTGATTGAGTTTAATAGAAGATTTAAATAAAACTACTTAATATTGAACTTCTTGTATTTCTTTAATGGGTCTTAACAGAGGGCATTGCCATGAATAGTAAAATAGTAGTAAAATAGGAATAGTAAAAGAGAAGGAAAGACCTGCAAATAAGTAGCCTTCCAAGCTACCAAAAAGGCCAGCTTGAAAGATGGGTCTTATTCAGGGGTGAAATGCTACCAGTTCGCTCCAGTTCAGGCAAACCGATAGTGATAAAAACTACCAGTTCGGGCAAACCAATAGTAAAAAAAAGCTACCGGTTCAGTTGAATCGGCTGTTAAAAAGCTGCCAGTTCAGGCAAACTGGTAGTTACGAAATCCTGCTTTCTAGCAAAGCTAAATTACACGCCACAGCTGATTCCCCCCCCCGCTGTTCTACTTTCCTCTTCACGCCCCTCCACACACGCACACAGCAGGTGCAAAAAGGGGGCTTGAGAAGGTAAAAAAAAAAGGGGGGGGGGGGGGGGATCAGCTGTGCAGTGCACTTTAGCTTTCCTAGAAAGTAGGGAATCCTGCTTTCTAGAGAAGGTAAATTGTGCGCCACAACTGATCTCTCCCCCTTCCTTCTACTTACCTTCCCAAGCCTCCTTTTGGCATGTACTGCGCGTGCGTGTGTACTGCAATGCACACATACATGCAGAGCATGTGTTTGGTGCGCACTGCGCATATACATGCAGCACGCATTTGGCACGCAGCACGCATGCGCGGCCAGCGAACCGGTAGCAAACCAGTTTAGATTTCACCACTGGTCTTATTGTTAAGTTTAACTCTTATAATCAAGGCTATTTAGAGGGTGGGGGTTAAGATTAAGGTGGTGCCTGTGCATGACACCCTGTCTTCATGAACATCATGAACATGACACAGGTAAAAAAGAGGCAGGACTTCAATTGTGTGGTTGAGCCCACCATCTTGAATTGTTTTACCTCTTCTGTGGACCCTTCGGCTTGTGACATTCACAATCAGCAAACAGCTATCTTTGCATTGCATGTCCAAGCAAGAAAGTACCCAAGCTGGTTGATTCCTAGTCTGAATCCCCTGTGAATCTCCACCTAATTTCTAAAGCCCTCTCCAACCAATCAGTTCATATATCTGGCAGGTCGGATTGCTCTTACTCATAGTAGCTACTGGGAAATAGAAGGAAAGGACCAGGTCATGTTTCTCTTTTGGCTTTCATCTAATCCACATCTCCCTTCGTCTCTGCTCCATGCAGTTCCAGATAAGTTCCACATATTTCTTCAAAGTGAATCTGGTCCTTATCTGGCAAATAAAACCTACCTTGCTATGAAATGTGAGAAAAATGTGGCTATCACCAGAGCTTTATCTTATGGGTAAATTTTCCAATCTTGCCTATCATTATGACAAGTCTTTGGTTTATCTACTAATGTGGTTTAATGATTACCTTTGCTGTTCAATATTTTAATTGCAACTTCGTGATGCAGGAACAATGGGAGGTTGCGTCACTTCTTTCCACCAGTAAGGTTTCTGTGACCACTAGGGAAAACAGCAAGCTACAGGTGAAAGGAAGGGATTTTGTTATTCTTGGGTTTGTTTTTCACCTGGCCTGAAATGAATCGCTATGTTTAAAAACAAAGGGAATTTTCTCTTTGCTGTCTGGTGCTTTCCTCAAGATGCAGTTGAAAATGATGCTTCTGTATATCACATATTTCCCAATGTGTCTCACTTTTATTTCACATATACTGAAGATACTGATTAGCCCAGTATGAATAGCTGGGCTAATCCCAAACTCTATAAGACAATTATAAAATGAGTATCAGCCTTTTCCCCTCCAATTTAGAGCTCTATGATTTAATAATTCCGTATTGTTTTAGCATTCTGCTTACTGTATTTTTCGGAGTATAAGACACACCGGAGTATAAGACACACCTTAGTTTTTGGGAAGGAAAACAGGAGGGGGTGGGATTCTGCCTACCAGGTATTCATCTGGCTAGCATCCTTAGCCTGGTCAGGTTCAGCACATTAGTTCGCTCACTGGTTTTGAGGTTGAGGCTGGTTGGGGCTGTGCTTCTAAAGCACAGCTGATCGTCGAAGGGAGCAGCAATTAGAAAAGCAGGCAAAGCGTGGAAGATCACTTTGCTTGCTTTGGGGCTGAAAAACAGCTTCAAAAGCACAACTGATCATTGGAGGAAGCTCCAATGTCTAAAGCAGGTGAAGCGCAGAAGGGGTAAGAGAAGGCAGTAGCTATTTCAGGTAGCCATTTTGGGCACCATGTGTCATGTTTTCAGCCTCCAAATGCATTGTGTTTTGGGTGGCAATCAGCGGTGATGTACTTTGGTGATCCCCGCAGCCCTGAAGGGCTCTCAAATGGAGCATTTGGAGGCTGAAAACATGACACGCAGAGCCCAACATGTCTAAGCCATTGTCGGTGGCAATCTCTGCAGCCAGGAAGAGGACGCGCGGAGGCTGAAGGGTGGGGGCCAGTGGGTGGGCATGGTTACATTCAGAGTATAAGACGCACCCATATTTTCAGCCTCTTTTAGGAGGGGAAAAGTGCATTTTATACTCCAAAAAATATGATATGTTAGGAGAACCACATCCTAAAACAAGAGCTCCTGTAGAATTCAAATTCCCTAAAAATAGTATATAATATTTTTCAAAATTGAGAAACACTGCTCTAGACTATAACCTGCCACATAGTTAGGAGAAATTGTGTTTTGCCATAGATCATAATGATTTCCATGTGATTCTGTCTAGAGCAGCTGGCAATGCATTGTTCTTTTTCCATCTTCCTTTCAGGGAGCTATTTTTTTTACTATGATTATAATTTCTCTTTTATTGTAGACTACAATTAAAAATCTGCCTAGGACAGGTCCTCTTTTGGTGGAGATATATATATCCACCGAAAGAGGACCTGTCCTAGGCAGATTTTATATATATATATGGATTTCAGCCGTATAAATGAGCTGAATAATATAAATAGAATCTACAAACGGAAACCTATTTCCAATTACCAAAATAGTAACTATCATATTAAAGCCTCATAAATAAACAGACTGTGTTCAGGACGAAGCCAGTGATGCTGTACTTTGTTTTACTTGCAAATTTAGAGAGAAGGAGGAGAGAGAACAGAAAGCTGAGAAACATTGAAAATGGAAAACTTCCTGGAATAAATGTTAGTTGTACATGACACCCTTAACATTTAACATTGTGTACTATTGCCAAAGGGGAAGTTGAAAATAATAGACTATTTTCAGTAGATGAAGCTTAGAGAAATCACATTTACAGCACAATGTCTACTTTAGAAGTAAGCTAAATTTTCTTACTTTATCTCC